ACTCTACCAGCCTTAAATAATAGGAGAATCTGTTTTTTTTTTTTATTTTGGAGTTCTTTTTATATCATAAGCTTCCCCCAACATCCCCCCCCCCCCCCCCACACACAAGTTTTTTGTATTTCTCTGAAGACTCACTGTTACAAAAGAATGTCAGCAAGATTGCCCCCAACTCTGTCACTCAATTGGGCATCTAGAAATTCCACTGCAATCTCTTTAGGGCAGGCATTGTCTATCCCCAGGTGCCTGTAGAGACTTGGCACACTGGGACCCCCATGCTAATCAGGACCTTGAGGCTACCACCAATATACTAACAGACTACAATAATATCTAGTGTATCACTTTGGGGGCAGAGGTAACACTGATTTTCTATTATTTGCCAAGGTGCCTAGAGGAATCTTTTTTGAGGTATCTTAAATTGAAATAGGCCACTATTGTATCCATGTGTGGGGTTGTTACTAAATGCCCACAGCTTACTCCCTTTGTGCATTTTGCTTTCTGCACTTCACCCAGCTTGGACACTTCCACTTCCTGGCAGCAGCTCTACCTCTGCTTCCACGCGGTAGCACAAAGCTGCAGTATGTGCCTTTCAAACATTTCAGTGGAGGGTTACAATCTACCTCCCTGGAAGCAAAAAGAGCTTTCCCTCTTAATTAAAGTAGTAATTAAAAATCTCTTCTACTCATGTAAGGTTCTGTTGACCTCTAGAAAGAATCTAAGTTTAGGGCTCACAGGACTCGGCAGTGTTCCTTTAAGACAACTTCAGAGAAGGTCTTTTAGAAACCTGCCTGGTTCCCCTGTACTCAACACACCAAATCCACATTCCTTTATTAATGGATCACCAGGAGCAGGAGCCCGGTCAATCCTTCCCTCTCTCCTTTTCAAGAGCAAATCCCCTCCTGTATATCGATGTGCAAGATACTAGCTCTTATCTCCAAGAACTCAGGCCAGAACCCCACAAGTTCATACAAAAGCACAAAGGCCCCTGAGCCAAGTCTCGCTGCTCTGCAAGGCCAAAAGTTTAGCTGCTAGCCTCTTTAGTTTGTCTGTATGAGCAAATGACTTTAGAAATAAGACACACCATTAAATAAAATATTTTGCATCATCTACCTGTAAAACTTTATGTCCCTGGAGAAGTTATTATGGAGAAATTATTAAGAATCCCTCAAGGGATATTAATCTTAAAAATTATGAAACCACAATTCTAGGGAAAGAAATTTAGGCATTTGTTTCTCGTTCAGAGGTGCAACAGTGCAATATAAGGAACATCTCCATTTCTGAACACCGTCAATTTACTGAGTCACTAGAAATCAGCGGATTGCAAAAAAGATATGCGTTATTGGATCTAGCAACATTGATGACAAAGGGCCCAGGAAACTACTGAAACCAACTACTAATAAAGACTGGTAGCACAGAAAGGGCCTATTTCCTAATTCTGATATATAAAGAGAGAATGGAAAGAAGGGTTAATGTAACTAGTTAAATAAGGCACAGTTCTCTCCACCTAGCAAACTGCTATATAACACACTGAAATAGATTGTGACAAAGCTTAATGACACCCTCTAAAAAGGACATACTTTAGTCACACACCACAAAAAAATGGTGCAAAAAAGTTGGCTAATTTCAGAGGGTCAAGCTAGTTAATTGTTAACGTAGGTGAGGTGACCCCTGAAAAGGGACTGCTACTTTCTGAGAAATATCACAATCCATGGCTGTGTTTAGATGCTTTGGATGTTAAGAAAAAAAAAAAAAAAGACAGCAACAATTTCCAAGACATTGTCCGTAGATCCCAATGAGTGAAGAACCAGGCTTGCACTGTCAGTCAGTTTAAAATATTACTTTTTATTTCGCAACATTTTAAATACCACTACGTAAGGCAGGGGTTGGCAACCTTTGGCACATCAGAGTAATCCACTGGCAGGCGGCAAGACATTTTGTTTACGTTGACCATCCACAGGCACAGCCCCCCGCAGCTCCCATTAGCTGCGGTTTGCCGTTCCCAGCCAATGGGAGTTATGGGGGGGAAGGGGGGGAGCATGCTTGCGGCGGTCAACATGAACAAAACGTCTTGTGGCCTGCCAGTGGATTAGTCTGATGGGCTGCGTGCCGAAGGTTGCCAACCCTTGACATAAGGTGTCCACAGAGGTTTGGCTGGGATGTAATCCTAATAATATTGCATACTATAATCATCATACTTTACACCTTCAAAGTGTTATATAGACATCATTCATTAACCTTCAACACATCTCTGCTATGTGCGCACACACCCCTTATAGAAGGGGAAACTAAGGCACAGATTGTTCAAGTGACACATCCAAGGCCCCAAAGGGAGTTGCTGACCTTTCCTTAGCAGGTGATTTTAAAAGGTTGCTCATTTACTCAAATTTATTTAACCTTTAACATCTCAAAACTAAAGAGAAGAAAGTAATAAGAGTCAGTACTGGAAGAACAATAATTTCTCTACCAAGTCAGTGAGGAGGACACCAGGGGATGGCAGCTCCAAAAAGAACTAGAGTAGAGGGGGCACCGCCTACAAGTGAACCAGCCAATTTTCTCCAAGAGGGATTTATTTCTTGTGCAAAAAAGAGTAAAGTCTGAAGCATTTATGGTGCTGGGTGGCCCAAAATGAATTTCCTTCTGGAGAAGAACATGACAGAGATGCCACCTGAATGAAGTAAACAAAAGATCAAAGACAGCACTGGAGCAGCTGCTTTCTTACCTATAACATGGATATGATTGTGGGAACAATGTTAACATGCTGCAGTGGGCTCACATGAGCACTGCTCAACTTTCCCTCTCATTTCGGCTATATTCTAACCAACCTAACACTGTGACAATTCAGCAATATGAGCAGTGCCACCTGCCAAGCATCTGTAAACCTGTAAATGAAAGGCTTTGAAATGAGAGGCAGTCTGGGAGTACTACTCTAACAATCAGGCCATTCCCAAAGACACCACTTCAATGAGGCCAGCAATTACAGAGAAAGGAATCAGAGCCTTCTAGATAGATGCATAGGAAAATCTAACCCTTATGGATCACCATTTAATCTGTTCTGCTACTCTACTGACCTAATAATAGGAACCCAACATTCTTTAGCCCCAGAAAGCATCTGCCCTGCTTCCTAAAGAGGGGGTGAGGGGAAGGAGGAGACTATGTTTTCACAAGAAGTGTCTCAACTCACTCAAAAATAAACCAAGCACTTTCCATACCAAAGTTAGTAAAAGGATCTCCCACATCAAAAGCCAGCAGCTGTCCCAGCAAGACCAGCTCCCTGTGCACCTACAAAGAGTCTGTGTACTCATCCTCCTCAGCTCCTAACTTTACTTGAGTTTAGCACAATAGTCAGGAAAGTAAACTGATAAATAGAGAAAATCTTAGCTGTTAAGTGTGCCACTAGCCAGTAATATCAGCTGATGATTTGTCTTCATCTTTTTATATTGTTTGTCTGTCTCTCTCTGACTTCTCAGAACGTTTACCCTAAGAACCCTACTGATCAACACTAAGAAATCTATTCTGATTATCAGTAAAGTCACTGGTAAGGATACAGATAATTCCACAAAGTAATAATCAAAATGATTAGGATTAAAGCTTTGTAACATAACTGCTAGGTAACCTGGAGATGACTGCAGCATGAATGAGATGAGACTCTATTGTGCCAGTGATGCCATTATATTGTGACATGGCTGCAATGTCACAATAGATCTGCGTCTCCTTTGCATACAGCAAAAGAGGCAGAACAGATCAGGCAGTTCTGTAGGAAGAGTTGCTCCTTAATAGCATTCATTTCTATCTCCTAATCAATACAAGGTGGAAGATGACCTTGCTTGCCATAGGTCAGTTGGCAGGAAGCCCTTAAAGATGGTACCCTGGCCTTTGAAGGGGTTTCTCTGCTATCCTTAAAGTTTTAAGACTTAATTATGGATTTACTTTGCTATAATTCTAACCAAAATAGAGAAGACACCCAGAAATGCTGCACAGCCGATTCTCTTCTGACACAGCTAATAAACAGCTTTGCAATAGGAGTGTGTGCAGTCCATACGTACATTCCAGGCAGCCCTCTTCGCCACCCTACTCGGGCACCATGGTACCCAATATCTGGAAGCATATCTGATTTTTAACTACTCGCTGGCAAACACAGATCCTAAATCCCATCCGTTGCCCTAGACCCCTACATACAGCCACAGCGAATACTTTACATAAGACTGCACTGACTCTGGACTCCACCTGGCTTCACCTCCAACTGTAGCATACTTCCTTTGGGGGTTACTGGCTCACAGTGGCAATGGTTCGCCACCGGCTCAGATTTTCTGTAGGATGCCATCCGGGCCCGCAGTGCCCCGTGTCACTGCAAACGGGCTCGCTCCGGAGGGACTGCCCAGTGCCATGGTATCGGGCTGGCCGCACGTCGCACCACGCCAGCCCCAGAGCCCCCGGGGCAGGGGCACTGGCAGGGGCACACTTCGGCCCCGCACGCTGCCGGAGCATTGCGGCCCCCGCTCCCAAACGGCCAGCGAGGGATGCCCGCACCTGGCGGCCGGCGGGCAGCGCGCAGGTGAGCGCGCGAAGCTCCGCGGCAGGAGGGCGGGCTGCCCCCGCCCCCCAGGCTCGACCCAGCTCCGGCCAGGTACCGTCCCGGACGGCGGGCCGGGGGCAGCGGCGGAAGGGCGGAGCGCTGGACGCGGGCCACAACTTCTCCGGGGCAGACGGTCCCGCCCCCCTCACAGCGACGCTGCCGGGGGGAGGGGAACAGCCCCTGCCCCTGGGGAGCCCGGCCCCGGGGGTGCCCGCAACCAGCCGGGCCGCGCCGCCCCCACAGGTGTGACCCGCCGGGCCGGGCCGCAGCCCAAGGACGGAGCCCCCCGCCATGGCCGGGCCGGCCCCCCCGCCGGCGGCCCCGCGCGGGCCCCGGCCGCCGAGTTCATTCATCGGGCGGCGCCCCGCGCCCGGGCCGGCCCCGCCAGCGCCGCGCCGCCGCCGCCGCCGAAGTTGGGCGCAGAACTTACCTAAAATGGCTCCTGCGGCAGCCAAAGCCCAGCCAGCTATTATTTGGTGAAGTTTAGCCAGCCGCCCCGCGCGCGCAGCCTAGCCTGGCCCGGCCCGCCCCCGCGCCGCCGCCACTGGCCCCTGGCCGGCCCGCCCGCCTGCCATTGGCCAGCCGGCCCGTCAGCCACGCGCAGCCCCGCTCAAGCTTGGCTGCAGCGTGCTTATTGCTAGCTCCATTGTGCTCCTATTTGCATTGATGTGATCGCTGCTGGGATTGGCTGGGCCGGGGCCGTGCAGCCCCCCCCCCCCCCCCCAACCCCCACCCCAGCCCCTCGAGCCACCCGGCTCTGCAGCCCTTGCCCCGCTGCTTCTCGCCCCCTCTCGCCTTCCAGCTCTGCCGCGCAGGGCAACGGCGGCTGCAAGTTCCCGGGGCTTGGGGCGGGGGGCAACCCCGAATTTCCAGTGCATCCTCCAATCAAGGGGGGTTTTACTTGCTCCAACCAGGAAAAAAAAAAACCTCTCCCCTTTGCATTCCACGTCTTTGCTCGCCTTTCATTTCCCGGATGTGAAATTTCCTGCACAAAAACACAATGTGTAAAGCTGGAATGTGCAGGGCTTTGCAGTGCATCCTTGCTCGCCGCGGGAGAGGAGGAGAAAGCAGGGCACTGGCAGGGATGCCAGTTGCCTGGGGCTGCAGCTCTTGGATGTTAAACTGCTGGGTACCACCTCTAACCCGTGCTGCCTCCCCACAAAATATCTGTCGGCTCGTGGCTGCAATGAGAGTTAATAAAATGTAAACGGAGCCCTTTATTTTCTAATGTATTTATTTACCCCTGGTATTTAATAGGGGGGCAGCTACATATGGGGCAAATGCCTGTAATTAAAACAGCACTTGGGTTCTTTGGAGCCTTAATTTATGCCGTAAAAAAGGTAGAAATAAGCATGATATAGAGGGCCAAAGGCTCTCAGAGCCTCCTTCTCTTTCTGCAAACATGCTCCAATTAGGGCACTGCTCTTTGTTAGACTTGTTGCAGGGATGGTCCAAAGTACTCAGCTGCGGAGTGGTGAAATCTTCCCAAGTACCACTCAGAGTGCTGTGAAATCCTGCCTTCCAGGAGAGAAGGGACAACAACAAACATAAGGGTTCAGCCCTTGACCCCGTACAGTGATCAGATGTACTACAGGGGTCTTTGGAACAGGGTGTGACAGAGTCTCCGATAACCTGGCCCAGCAGAACAGGTTGGAGACAGCAGACGGGTCTTTGGGCCTCCTGTCTTTTCACCTTCTTTTCACCTCCTTGTTCTCATGAGATGCAGCAGTTTTTCACTCAGCCCCCTGGTGATCTTAAATACCACATTAGTTCTTCTGGTGCCCCAGCTCCTGGGAGCCGCTGCGGTTCCTGGTGGCCTCTACAATCTCTGTTCTCCAGCTCACCCCCAACATTGTCCACCTTCTGCTGGTTTCTCTCTCTCTCTGGGACGTCTTTTCCAAGTGGGATTAATGTCCCCCACAGTGAAGTGCCCAGAACTCATCAATTTCAATCTTTTTTTTCCCCTAGGGAGATACCATCCTGATTTTCACATGCCAGTCAATGAAAGCTCAGCACCACTGAGACCCAGGCCAATAGACGTGTTTAACACCCTGTTCCAGCAACCACTTGCCTTTCCTTTGTGTCAGAGAAGCTCCCATACCATTACATCACAGATGTGACTATCTGTACCTTGTCCAGCGCTGCCACAAGACACTCGTCATACCAGTGTGTCACAACTGGCCCTAATGTCTAAATCTCATTGATTCCCTCTGTGTGCTGCAGAATCTGATATTCTCTCCTTGGTAAATCATACTATACAACTTGGTGCTTCTTTTCAGCATGATTAGACTAGTGTTGTTCCAGTTTCTCTTATCAGCCTTGATTTTCCCCAGCTATTCCCATGCTCTGGGGTTGCCAAACAGTTGGGAATCCAAACAGTAACTTGTTTCACTTATTACTGACATATTAACTGTTTATTTGATCAATAGACATCTTGTAAATATGTATATTTTAAAAAATCTTAACACAGATTATTAAAATAGTGGCTCAGATATTCAAAACGAGGCTGGGAAAGCACCAGAAAATAGAATTTAGGGAATGATCCTGCATTGTCTGGGAGGTAAGCTAGATAACCTTTGAAGAGCTGATCTTTAGAATAGATCAGCTGGCTTTGAGTTACTCTGTCCTTAGAATAGCATAGTGAGAAGTTGTAGGAAATCTGCTGGAGATAATGTGCATGGATAATAGCCACCTTTCTTAATTATATACCTGAGGCACTCTCTTGCTTTAGAGCAAGATTCAGATACCCTTGCTCTTGCTGAGTAGCACCTCAATCTTCATAAATTCCCACTGGATCCTTTGATGTGTAAACAGGAATGTCGACTAGAACTAGGGAGGTAGTATTATCTCTGTATATACCATTGATGACACCACTGCTAGATTATTACTGTGTCCAATTCTGGTATCCGCACTTTAGAGAGGATGCTGAAAATTTGAAGATGCTTTAAAGAAGAGTCACAAGAATGACTTAAGATCTGGAAAACCTGCCTTACAACAAACAATTTAAGGAGCTCAATCTCTTCAGTTTAGCAAAGAGAAGGATTAGAGGTGACTTGATAATAGTCATTTAGTACCTACAGAAGGAAAAATATTTCTGGAAACAGAGAGCTCGTCAATCTAGCTGACAAAGACGTAAGAAACAGTCGCTGGAAGTGTTAAACCATTGGAACAGATTGCCAAGGGATGTGGTGGAGTCTTTACAGCAAGACTGGATGTCTTTCTAAGAGTTCTGCTCTAGTTCAAACAGAAGTTATAAACTCATGCAGGGATCATTAGGTGTTATTCTCTGGCCTGTGTAATGTAGGACATACTTGATGGTCATAATGGTCCTTGCTGATCTTACAAGTTAGGAATCTATTAAAGTCTTATTAAACATGAGCCTACCCCATAGAAAGCAGGGTCCCTAATCTCCTCTCACAGGATACGAGTAATTCCTTGGGCATCAATAGGAGCTACTTGTAACCAGAGTGAGGGGAATAGGGCCCCAGCATGGGATCACCCCATCCCCTCTCACCTTCCTTGCCCATCTCAAAATCAATTCCTATGTGACCTACTGGTTCTCAAAACCCCCATTGCCAGGCTGCACTCTGCTGGACCTCCTGAGAGCTTTATGTATTCTAGCATCCCGCAACTCTTGGCTATGCACTCCCCCTGCACACTCACTCCACTCTAGGCCTCCTGCTGAGTGGTTGGGATCCCCCACCCTTCCTGCAAGCCAGACAGATGCTTTCTCTCTTCAGATCTCACTTTGAAAACTTCTGGTGCATTTGAATCTACAAAACAACCCTATAACTCCCCTTGCCTCCTTCCCCCCTCGCTGCCTCCCACTATTCCACTGTACATGGAGTTGATCTGTCTCTATTACATCCACTGGAGTCTTTACCCTATCCCCGTTCTGGGCATCACTTTTCCCCCTCTGACTACATCAGATCTGCTAGATCCAAATGTGCAAAGTGCTTCTCCCCAAACTCCTTTCCTTTTTGACTCTATCTTTGCACCCCCTCTCCCTCTCTCTCTCTCTCTGCCAAGTGTTCCTGACCTCTCTGCATTTCCCTATGTCCTGCCTTCCCTCATCCTTTTCTTTACTCTCTGTCTCAGAATTAACTCCTAATTCTTTGTATGAAGAACGCTCTGAAAAATAACTTGTATTTTTATTATCAAAATACCAACAGCAATTCATGTAAAGACTAATCACTTTTTAGTTCTCTGTGCGAAAAAAAGCACCTGAAACTGGTTAACAATCTTTGTGTTATAAATCCTGAAAGGATGGCTTTGTAGTGGAAAGTCATCTGCCAGTTCAGTCTTAAGCAGGACTGTGCTACTAAGTTAGACTTCTCACAATAAAAGTGATCATCATGCCCAACACAAAGCAGATTTGGAAAGGCAAGTTTTGTGTGATGATATTTCACTTTGCTACTGATAGCAGAACAGAACAGGGCTAGCACAGTGTGTGTCAAATCTGCAGAAAACACAGAGGATTTCTGCTTGATCACTGCACACAGGCAGCATTGGTGGTCTCTAAGAATCTATAAATTTGGTTTGCCCCAAAGTTCTTACCTACATCTGCTCCCGCTAAAGTCAATATCAAAGACTCTGTTGGCTTCAAATAGGGTCCAAACTGCACTATTCCCACATACTCTGAGATCCAGAAGTGATCTTACCTCAAGACGTGTGGCCCCAGCAGTTAGCCTGTGTGCTCAAGGGCAGACTAGTGATAATTTATCAAGCTCTAGGTCCTGCAAGGAGCTGAGAGCCCTCCACCCCATCTCATTGACCTTTGAAAGAACTGTGAGCACCCAGCACATCCAGAGAGACGCTCAGCATTTTTCAGCCCAACGCTAAAGAGAGTTGCTGCATTGCCAAGAGCCAGAAAATGTAGTCATCCAAATGCAACTCACAGTATAACCATCAAAAACTGTCACTGATAGCGATTGTTACTCCTGGGGGAATTCTGCACTGAAAAATTAAAAATTCTCTGCAAAAAAATTAAAAATTTTTGCACACAACCTTTTAACATTATGCAGAATTCTGCATATTTTATTTGTCAAAATAACACTATATATATAACACAAAATAACACCAGTTTTGGTAATTTATTTTCAAAATATCTGTGAGCAACTATTTCTGTAACAATACAGACAACAACAACAAAAACCACAGGAGTAGAGAGTTAAGAAAAACCCCTACAACAACCCAGTTCCTGTTTCTCTGCCCCTCCCACACAGAGCCCAGCTGCAGGCCCAGACACCCACACCACAGGTCCCAGCTGTGGGGCACCCCCCAGCCCAGACATCCACATCCCCTCCCCCCAAAGCCCAGCCATGCCCCACCCAACACTTGCATTCCCTCCCCCCAGAGCCCAGGGATCCAGAGGGAGAAACAGCCGGTTGGTCCCCAGCTTCTATGGAGTTTCCTGCATGCCGCCTCCTTCCTTCAGGGCATGCCAGGAACTGCAGTTGGCGGAAACCCTCCAGCTCCATCCTCCTCCCCTCCAGCAGTGTTTTCTATTTGTGAGCTGG